AGGGAACTGTTTCAAACACAGCCTGAAAATCATCTTGTGACCCTCCCCTGGCGTCTTGCGACCCCCCGTGGGGCCACGACCCACACTTTGGGGACCCCTGCTCTTTAGGGACTCTGACTAAATTCATTCTGGCACCTGGAACACCTGACACCTGCAACTCGATAGCTTCAGATGTAGCCGATTTCCCCACTTACACACAAAGCACACACTTTAAATTAAATGACGTGTATATTTTTGTCTCGCATCCATCATAATAATCTTGCTCGGGTCAGGAATTTCATCAGAACGAGCCCATGAGAAACACACAGCTCCCTGAGCAGGTTACTCGTGTTGTATCTACAAAGGCTGTAGCCCATTTGTTTGGACTTCTGAAGATGCTAAAACATGCAGTAGCTGTGTACACACTGCAGACACATTAGAGAAACCTATAGCAGGAACACTGTCACATGTATAAATCATCCTTAGCAACAGGAGCCTGTGTCTGCTCCCTGCGGTCTGATCCATCTGGTGAAAATCTTGTTCTGTACACGTTTTTATGAGGACTATACAAGGACACCAAGGGCAATATTACCAGAACTGCACACAGAGCTGCCAATACTGTGTTTAACTTATAGCTTTTATTTATTCTGGCTTCCTCTTTTCTCATAATATATTTTGGGTGTATTTTCCTTTGCAGTGCAGCGTGGCATGTATTAGCCCTTGCGGGGATGAAAGTGCATTGAATTGAATATGAACTGAAAGATGCTTGATGTAGTTGAATAAAGCTGGAAAGTGGTTAGGAATAAGTAGTGATGTTGTCAAAGGAGAAATACAAGCATGCACACAGTATTTTGCACATTAACTGTATCATACTGACCACATCTGTGAGCTCTTCTCAGTAGCCTTCACCTTTGGTTTCACTTTCAACAGCCGGTCCTCCTCAGGGATGGCCGGGCCAGGTATGTTGTAAAGTGGATGGTCAAACAGCGCCTCCAGCTTTGACAAGTCCGACTCCAAAGGTTCAGCTCGGTTGGAGTCATGAGGAGCCACGCTGCCTGCCAAACCGACCGAGGCATTTTTACCTCCTTTCACCGACCAGCCTTTGTCAGTAAGTGTTTGTTTGTGACCTTTGGCACCCCTTTTGGCATCTTTGTTGGAAAAACGTCTTTGTAGCGTATCAGTTGGTGGCTCAGCTGGACCTCCACTAACCCCCGCAGAAGTGTAGTTGGTGCGTGCCAGGTCTCTGAGGATGTCCGTCCTGGGAGGCGGTGGGGGGTCACAGGGCTGGTGGTAAATGGAAAGCGAGACAAGGACCAGGAGGAGGTGGAGGAAAATGGTGATGAAGGCCAAGGACAGACAGATTGTCCTGGAGCGACGCCGCATACACCGCATCATCCTACTGAAAGGAGAGCAAGAGAAGGTCAGGAGTGAATGCATGAAGGGAAGAAAAGAAACTGAAAAAATGTTGTGAAGAAGATTTTTTAAAAATGTATCAGGAGAAGAGTGTCGAGCGATATAAAAATTAAGGTAGCAGCATCGGGCAAATTAACTGAAGTACATGGTGCTGATAAAGGTTTTGAGGAAGCTTTTTACACTATTGTCAAATAGCCAATGCTAATACACTCATAGCTGATCCCATTCTCATATGACCTTGCATTGCATTAGTCAAGTCATTGTACAAATGGTTTCATACAGAGACAAGCAAAAAGTGACTTACTTCCTTTTTAGTGCTTCCTGACACCTCTCGGGTCCTGTTGCTGTTTTTCCCAAAAACAAAAAAGAAGAGACTCTATCCTGCATCCAGTCAGCCTTTGCTCTGTTATTTGTCATGTTCTATAGTTGCTCCCAGGCTCAGGTAGGGAGTGGTGCCAGGTTAACGTGACACAAATCAATGTGTTTACTCGTCTCTTCAAAACGAGACCTTTTTTTCCACACTGCATTTGTCTTGTGGTATGTGACTCATCTTTGACTCTCCTACAAAAGCAAATAGAGAAAGAAAGAAAAAAATGAATTTAGTGTGTGTGCATGTAGTGTATGACAATTAGTCTGTTTGCCCACAAACATCACCACCTACCAAACCTGATGATCCAACAAGCTGCACTCGACGCATCCTGTGGGTTGAAAGAGACACTTATCTTTTCGATATTGCTTTTGAATTTTAAAATATGAGTTTAAAGATGCAGTTCAGGGTAAATCAATACAAAATCATATTTTTTTTTATTTCACAAAGAAAGCAAGGCTATATGCTTGCTGCTGTGGAATGACCTCTGTCCTCCATTTCAACACTTTCCAAGCGGAGTTGGCTCTCTCCTCTGTGGGCAGAAAAATGCTTCATTTCTGTTGAAACATTCAGATGTGCTGCTGCCCTGATGTCAATATAGGGATGAAGAATCTCTTGTACATTTACATGTGTCAAAATGAAGTGTGCACAGTTATTCATGAGTAGATACAAACTCGTCTAAAACATATGGACAAGCTCATGAGAGGCAAGAAGTGATACAACAACACGGCAATTCATTTTTGCAAAACACGGCACTACAACTATTACATTATCTGTTATTTTTCTGTTGACTCAAAGTTTAATTTAGGGCAGTCCGTCTCAAATAGGTGCGATGCCACGAGGGGCAAGTCTGACACCGGGGCAGTGTTAAGTTTGTGAACCAAAACTTTTGGTTGACGACCCTTTTTTCCGTGACTAGTTTGTGACTAGAATGTAAATTTAAGAAGTACTGACAACAAAAATTAAAACGAAATCTCTGTTCATCATTAAAACTTTTCAACTTGAGCAAATCTGTGTAGAACGCGCTTTCCACTGTTTTCCAACAAATGTTTGGTCACTCACCTGTCAGAGGAGCTGCACTGAACACACCTGGCAGCATCTACCTGAGCAGCATGTGAGGCGTTCAGGGAACATCGGTAAAATGTAGCATCTAGCATCTAGCAGCATGTGAGGCGTTCAGGGAACATCGGTACAATGTAGCATCTATCGGGTCAGCATGTGAGGCGTTTAGGGAACATCGGTACAATGAAGCATCAACCAGGTCAGCATGCGAGGCGTTCAGGAAACATCAGTACACTATAGCATCTACCGTAGCAGCGTGCGAGGCGTTAAGGGAACATCGGTAAAATGTAGCATCTAGCATCTAGCAGCATGTGAGGCGTTTTAGGAACATCGGTACAATGTAGCATCTACCATAGCAGCATGTGAGGAGTTCATGGAACATCGGTAAAATTTAGCATCTATCTGAGCAGCATGTGAGGCGTTTAGGGAACATCGGTACAATGTAGCATCTACCAGGTCAGCATGTGCGGCGTTCAGAAAATATTGGTACAATGTAGCATCTACCAGAGCAGCATATGAGGCATTCAGGGAACATCGGTAAAATCTACTGGAGCAGCCCATGAGGCGTTCAGGGAACATCAGTAAACTGTAGCATCTACCCATGGGCATTTTCAGCAGTTGTTTAGCCTGTGTCCGGTTAATGACTGATATCAGAAGAGGCTTGGTGACAAAATAAATATATTTTAAGGTTAAAACATTTTACAAATATCAAGTCTTGTATCACTGAGAATCATTGAAGCCTAACTAAGTTATGCAAAAACAGCTATTAATCAGCTGCATGGTGCATTAATAGCTGTGTGCTGAACCAAAATAATGGAGTGAGGTGACCAAATCACTAGCTGGTGCGACCAATGAAGAAAGTTGGTAGCATCAGTGCTACAACTGGGAAAGTTAGTCTGGAGCCCTGTAACAGAATCACAAGAAACCACATCCAGTAGCTGAGGATCTCCTGCTCCCCACTGCTCTTGATGTGGTGTCAACAATGACTGAGGAGACTTTCACTGATCACTGAGCAGGTTGTTGCTGCACTATTTGACTGCTCATGATATTTAATTTCAGTAAATTTAAACTGGTTCATTTCCTGACTATTTAAGTCACTGAAAGATTTTTGTCCTCTGAAGGCAGAAAACGTTTGAGAACCACTGAATCAGGGAACTTCTTGATTTTGGCTGCGGAACAAATTTTGTCTGAATATTTCTGTGAGAGGAACAAAAACAAGAGGCAGAGCAGAAGCAACAGCGTGTGTGTTACTTGGAAATGACTGTGTAAATACACTAATCACACACATACACAGTAAATTATCTTCAGTCTGTTGGAGGCATCATGGAAGAAGGCTCCTTAACCAGGCAGTGGGCGAGACAGATGTTTCGTATTCCGCGTGTGTGTTTGCGATGAGACTTTGATTCAGGCACCTCAGGCCTCGTGGAGAGTCCCGCAGGATACGCAGTTTCTGTGAAGTATGGCTCTTTAAAGTCTGTGAGTGTGTTCAAACAGAGCAATCCACGTGAATGATATGAAGGAATGATATGAGACACTTGAAAAATGCATGTGTCACACCCATGTGACTGTATCTGTGCAGATGACAAGAAGACGACTCGTCCGTGTCGTCTAAATGGAGGGGATCGAACAGATTTGGTTCGAGCTTTATTCTTGTATTCTCACAGGTGGTGATGTTTATTATTATTCATAAGCAGTCAAAGAACATTGAAATTTTGGATAACAGCATGAGTTCAATGCAAATGAAGAAAAGCAAAAGAATATTATAAAAACCTCAGTGGGACTGAAAGTCTTGGAGACTGGAAGAATTAAATTCTATTTTTGCATGTGTGTGGTACATATCTTGTTAAAAAATGAGTCTCTCTTGAGTGACTCTCAGTTTATTTCTATGAAAACTGAATACACAAAGGATCGGGACGATTTTAGAGTGTCTCACAGGAAGTTTATTGTTAGTTTTAAAGGAATGTTTTTGCAATTAAACAGAGCATTTTCTTGGTACATAGATAGAGAGGTATCACAGACAGGGTTGTAGTTGGGCTGTGTTGGGTTTTGGTAGAAACATGTGTGGCATATTGAGAAAGGAAGAGAACAAAGAAACTGAGATGTTACCGTCAGCTTTCAGTGGCTGCATTTGAAATCACATCCTTTTATTTTTTGCCCTTTCGGTTTGTCCTGCAGCCGCCCTTACAAAGACTGTTGCATGTTGTATGCATACAGTTTGGACATTTGTTGTCTTGAGCTGTGACTGTCTTGCTCAGGTCTGTTAAATGAGATGCTATTCTTGTGAGTGCCCCTCAGAGGGTCAAGTGTGTTAATACTTGAGCCAGATACCATCTTATATGTGTGCAGACAATTGTGGATCAGAATAGCCGGAAAAGCATGCCAACTTCCATCCATCCATCCATCATCTATACAGTGTTGCAGTGGGCTGGACTCTATCCCAGCTGACTCAGGGTGAAGGCAGTGGACACCTGGACAGGTCGGCATGCCAGCTTGCACACTGCAAAATGCAAAATGGACATCTTGGTATTTTTGGCAAACTGCATTTGACATAGTATACATCAGAGGTTCCCAAACTTTTCAGTCTTCAATCTTCAAAATAACGGTGCCAGAGACTGGCAACCACCCACAAAAAAATCCTCATTGAGCATTAAGTCCTGCAGTCTGAATGTAGCCAATCTGTGGGATTGTTCAGTCAGATAATACGCCGTCATCCTTATTTGTGACATAAAATGTCATGTCGGAGTCAGAATCCAAGGCTGTCGGTACGTTCAGGCTATTTTTAATGGGTTCTGTTCGTTTTTCCTAAAAACGACAAAGTCACGACTGTATAGCAGAAGATAATGAGAATGTCTTGTAGGTTTTGCATATATCTGATCATAAACTGAAGTAATGAATAAGTTATTTTTTTTTACCTAATGATGGCATTAAATGAAAATCAAGGTTATATATATATATATGCATTCAGACAAGAAGGGAAGTTTCATTTTGCATTATTTAACACTGGACTAATTGGCCCAAACTGTAAGCTAGCTTGGAGAAAAAAAAATATGCCGTATTTGCATGCCTGTGTTATGTATGTTCAGCACAGCACTGAGTGATGTCAGAGCCCACCAGGAGCTCCAGCTCTTCCTCTTATTCTCCTCTTGTCGCTCTCCTTTTTTCTCTTGTCTTGACTACATTCACAAATCCCTGAGATAAGAAGAAAAAAAAAATCATGCAAGTAAAACATTCTCAGCTCACACTGACACGCGATGTAAAAGTCAGCTCGCATGAGTTAGGATCCGTCTTCTGTTTGCCAAATTACAGAATCCAGTAGACCTTTATCACAGCAGCCATTTTGACAGGAAATAGGAGATAAACACAGGAACCAGTAACATTATGAAAGGCTGTGTTCTGTTTGGGCAGCGCTTTCGTTAATGTCATTAGGAACACTTGTGTTTACCTGCACTTCAATGTCAAACATGTTCTTAGTTGTTGACATATTTCAGTCTGACGTAACATCAGCATGGTTAAAGGCCACAGTAGAGCGTCTCAGTAAGGCCATCATATTCTT